TGAAGTCTTTCCCTAGTTACCTCAAGTACGTGTTCCTTGGAGATGGAGGAACATTAACGGTGTCTCTCAAGTAAACTCAGTGCATCGCAAGAAGAAAAGCTGACTCGAGCCAATGACAATAAACAAAGGCGCTGCTTGGGAGGCAACCCAAGGGGAGTTTGTTTTCATTCTCGCATTTTAAATTGGTTATTTTTGCCTTTTCTTTGCATTTCATCTTACATTGGGGACAATGTCGTTTTAAGTGGGGGAAGGGATTTAGGTTATTTTAATTTTTTTAGGTTGTGTTTTAATTTTTTTTTTTTAAAAAAAAAATGTTTTTTGTTTTTAGGAAGGTTTATGCTTTAAGTCATGTTTTTGAACGTCTAGTGATGCATGAAATAGTAACTTGACTTTGTCATTGAGTATATTCCTTGACTTAGGATGTTAGCAATATTTCATAAAATAGAGTTAATCAGATTTGAATCTTTGTAGTTTGAAACGATATGTCTTGATAGTTGTGTGAACTTGGTGAAAAGCATGATTGAGGAGTGTATAACAACCCTTAAAAGGAAAAAAAAAAAAATCTCTTAAGCTAGTCCTAAATTTGGGTTTAAACAAATAGGAAAAAGAAAAGAAAGGTATGGTGATTTGAGATGGGCGTAAAATGCACTCACTATAAAACAATCATGAAATGAGATGGAGCATAAAATGCACCATTCATTTTCAAAACAGAAAAAAAAAAAAATATCCCTAGTTTGCTACCCAGTTTGTAGTAGTAAGGAAACGTTGAGGAAAAAGTTGAGAGGTGAGTTGTACATGAATTGGTTGTGATTAGTTCCTTGTTTGCATTGACTGATTGAGAGTAATTGTGGAAAATGATGAAGAGAGATGAATGCATTAACTCTATTTATTTTATTTTGTTGCTGCCTAGTTAGGTATGAATTAGCATGGATAAATATTGTTGCTTATGCATCATGATGGTGTTCTTGATATGACTTGAGGATGGTGTTCTTGATATGACTTGAGTGTATTGTTTGTTTGAATTAGTTTGCCCGAGGACGTGCAAAAGCTAAGTGTGGAGGAATTTGATGAGAATGCAAAATGTCATATTACCCCCCTTATGTCTAGTCTTTTATACTTATTTTTGCCTAAATGTACTCATTATTATTCTATTTTATTTAGGATGCAAATGGAGGCGTTAAATGCAAAACGGAATAATTAGGTGAATTCGGACAGTTTTGACATTGCTTCGTAATCTGGGCATAACTCTCTCCGAGCTCCATTTAGATGATTCAAAATGTTTGGAACCTAAGAAAGAGATCACAACTTTAGTTTTGATTTGGAGAGATACCGCTTCATCAAGGTATAATCGGCTGAATTGACGCACCTACATACCGACGTTTGGAACATTCTGCCCTATCATGCAAGTCAATTAGAGTTTATTATTGGAAGATTTGAAGACCTATTGCACGCAAGTACAGCGGAACACCACTTTCCTATTTTATTTTAGGACTATTTTATTTTCAATTAATTAGAATCAGATTAGGATAAATGTTATTTAGGATATTAGAATATTTTGAGGAGATTTAGTAGAATTCAAATACTTGAATGATATGTTTAAAAGGAAAAGAGGATCAGATGAGATATATCACACACGCTCTCTTTCTCTCTTCTGGAATTCGTTTTTCTTTGAGTTTTTCATGGCCATGAGCGGCTAAACTTTCATAACTTGGTCGAAGGAAACGAGACTCGGAATCAATAAAACTTGAGATCTATCTGTTTTTAGTGTTCAATTTTGTTTAGAATATTGGATGTTCTTCTATGCATATTGTCATGATTGTTGCGTTTATTACGAGGCCTACTATACTAGTTTATTATTGTTGCAATCACTGCTAAGTTAGATATCAATCGTAATTGTTTGATCCCTTTAACTTGTGAAGGATTAGGGTTTAAGAATTTGTTGTGTCAGGAATTATTAAGTCTTAAGAAGAACATTAACTAAATAAATACAAACCGCTTGAGTTTGTTGTTGTTTAGCTTCATCAATACTCTCTAGTTCTTAAGGCTGCCACTAGATTAAATCTTTAGCGCTTGTCTAGGGTTGTTTAGTAGTAAGATTAATTTGATCGCTTGTTTCCTAATTAATTACAACTAAGGAGAGATGGAAAATAGTGCCAACGGTGAATACTTAAAGTATGAATTGATTTATTTTTGCATCGATGATCAGTTGTAAGATTCCGATGATAGATTTTGACTTAGACCAAGGTTTGTTATTTTGATTTATTGATTAATTTGAATTGTTGTTTTCCTGAAATTGTTTCTGTTTAACTCAAAACCCCCCGGCCTTGTTCACGTGACATTAAATTCAGCTAGACACTCTCCGTTGGAATGATCCTGACTCACATTACTACATGTGGTTTTAGGTTTTAATTATGGGTGCCTACGACAGCACGCCAGCACTATCCTCCTTTTTTTTAAAAAAAATTCATAATTAATCGACGGTCATGATGGTGTCACGTCTGTCGGTGCATAAATTCGGTATCTATTTTTTCAGTAACTATGTCATTTTTCTATAAGATTTGACAACAATGAAGGACTTATAACGTTTAATAATAAACTTGTAACATTATGATATTATAGATTTAATATAAATATCGGAACATTAAAATGGTTATTCGCAATATGTTATTAATTGTACATCATTTATTATGATTCATATTAAAAAATCTAGCTTTATTTTAATCAAGTTTATGAGGCAGAATCAAGAAATTTATTCTAAGAGGTCAAAGAAACAATTAGTAAGTTACATTTATAGGGTCAAACTGTTATGTTCAAAAACTGAGGGAGCCAAAGGAATTTTAATTTAGAGGCAATAATATAATTTTAATAAAAATTTGTGTCGGGGGGGGTTGTTGGGGGGCGTGGGCGGCGTGGGGTTGGGGGGTGGTTGTTGTGGCCATAGCTCCAGACAACCTTCGTAATACCATTTATAACTTCGTTCCATGTTACAAGATCATCCAAAAATATAAAAAAGGTTTTATGTAAGTTTCCCGGGAAAAAAATTAATTACCCACCTTATAGTTTTAAATGTATCCGTCAATAAAAATTATTTCATTCTAAAATCAAGTTACTCACGAACTTTTAAAATGATATTCAGTCGTTTCTTAAAATCTTAATTTTGTAGGACTCGAAATAACAATAGACACAGAAATATAGTGAAAGACTATTTACCCCAAAATTAGTTAAAAAAAAAAGTATTTATTTTCTTTTTCTTCATCTCTTATTCTCTTTCTCCCCCTTCCAAAAACCATCATCAACCACCACTAATCTATCATCGACCACCTAACAACACACTAAAATCCATCACAAAGTCTATCTTTAACAACCATAGAGTATATTGACAATCAAGGGAGGAGCTAGTGGTGGCCACTCGAGCTACTTGTGGCGGTTGCCTGAGGAACTTATGGTTGGTACGTGAGGAGATTGTAGCTGTTGCACGAGTTGCTTGCTAGCCATATCGCAAATGGTAAGCAATTGACATGGGGAGAAACAGGAGAATGAGAAAATAGAAAGAATAAGGGGAAAAAGGAAAAAAAAAAAAAAAAAAAAAAAAGATAGAAGAAGGGAAGGAAAAAAATTAAGGTTAGATGATACACAAAAATTAAGAAAATCAATTTACCATTCTTTATTACCATTGTTTGTTTTAAAGGACAGGGGTTGGGTTATTACCCGACGAGGATCATCTTCGAACATTTTACAAACTCAATGGACCAAGTAAATCACAAATGTGATAGGTGATCATTTTGTGGTACTCGAATATAAGATCTTTGAATAACCTATCCAGATGACTAAAATCTTTCGGCCCAATCACAAGACTAGTGGTTACCCAGATAATTTTTTTTCTGTTATCCTACCTGCAGTAGGATCAAACCAGGATAACCAACTAAATAAAGTGACTAATAAATCAACCGACTGAACCCCTGAGGACAATTTACCATTCTTTAATTAACAAGGTTAGTCGTTAAAGCTTTGAAAGTGATTGATTATTTCTTGGAAACAAAGGATAACCTGGTATAAAATGTCTTACTAACACTTCCTGATACTTGAGGGACGAAAGTAGACGAAGCAACACTTCAATCCACAGGTTCTGGAAAACTTTTCTCACCCAAAATTTTTAAGATAATGACACTTTCACCCAAACCAGAAGGGCGAAATCACAATAAATCAAAACAATAATAAAAAAGTGTATGATTCTATATAGTTATGAATACACCAATTCTAATCTCTTTACTTTTTGATTCTCCGCGTGCACTCCTCAAACTTTGTAGTTTGTATCGCGTTTGTTTTTTATTTCCATTTCCATTTTCTTTTTCTTCTTCTTTAATCATTTCTCTCTCCAAATCTCACGCAAACACGCACACACTCTCTCTCAAACTCTTCAAATTCTTTTCCTCTTCAATCACAATCGTCACCACCCACCAACACCACCGCCTCCACCACCGTCACCTCCACCACCTGTCACTTCCTTCCCAAAATCACCCATCTCCATCTTCCCACCAAATCAATCAACCATTCACGCACTCATTCTTTCTCCATTCCCATCTCAAATCTTGATCCCATCTTTCTCCATAATACACACAAATCAATCAACCATTCACGCACTCATTCTTTCTCCATTCCCATCTCAAATCTTGATCCCATCTTTCTCCATAATACACACACACAAAAAAAAAAAAAAATCCTCCCCTTCAAAGATCAAAACTTTACTAACCTTATTGTTGTACCAATCTTTTTCCTTTTTATACAAATGGAGAGTTTGCATTTTTATTGCTCCATTTTTTTGTTTCTTTCAAATTTATACAACAGAGGTTTTGCTAGTTTTCTTTGAAAAACCAATTTTTTTTTTTTTTCTAATTGTGAAAAGTCTCAAATTTTAACTTTTATACAAAAAGGTTTTGCTAGTTTTCTTTGAAAAACCATTAATTTTTTTTTTTTTTTTTTGTCTAATTATGAAAAATATTATGGGGAGGGGGAGAGGGGAGAGAGAGGAGGGAGAGAAGTACATGGGGTTACTAAAACTAGTTCAAATATTATCATTTTTAGTTGTTTTTGTAGCAGGAATTATCATAGGATTAGCAACAAGTTCACACATGAACCAGTTTTTCACATCACAATCTTTGTTGTTTTCAACGAATCGATTCTCAGCAATTTCTCAGTCAAGTATGGAACAAAATTGCACAGTGGTTCAAACTTGTGAGGACGTTGATTACTTGAGGTTTGAGAAGTTTATTCATCCAGAAAAATTGAGCCACAAATTGTCAGATGAGCAGCTCTTGTGGAGGGCTTCAATGGTGCCTTATAGGGAAGATGAGTACCCTTTTGAAAGAACTGTTAAAGTGGCCTTTATGTTCTTGACAAGAGGGCCATTGCCCATGTTGCCTCTGTGGGAGAAGTTTTTTAAAGGGCATGAGAAATATTTTTCTATTTATGTTCATGCTCTTCCTGGCTACAAGCTTGATGTTTCTCAAGATTCTCCCTTTTATGGAAGGCAAATCCCAAGTCAGGTAATTTTTTATTTTATTTTTTTAGAATTTTGGATTTTTGTGTTTTTCATATTTTGTTATTATTGTTGTTGTTGTGATGTTGATGGTTTGAGTTTGGATTTTGTTCTATGTATAGTAAATATGGTAAAATTTATTGAACTTTAGGATAGTTCTTATGGTTTTAGGCAAATCCCATGGCCGGTGTGTTTTTTTATTTTTATTTTTTTAATTTATTGTTTTATTTTGGATTCTTGTGCTTTTCGTATTGTTGTTGTTGTTATGTATCTCTTTGGAGTTTGGTATGTGTGTAAATAATATGGTAAATTTAGTTGGCTTCTTTTCGAGTGAGGTAGATGGATTCTTGTGTGATTGGTTGGAAATAAGGTAGAAATCTCTCTTACACTTCTCGCTTAAGAGAAGTTTTTGATATATTTTATGAAACTTTAGTAGAGGTATCTTATGATTATAGGGGAGTTTTCATTATGATTAACATGATTTCAGAGGATTTGAAACCATCTAGATCTGCTTGTGTCTTAGTGAAATCCGTGGGATGTTGGTGATAATTTAATAATGAAGAAATTACATATGTTAGGTTTTTAACAATCTTATTGTATTAAGCTAAGATGAATCTACAACATTTTGATAATATTAAGGGATAAAATGGCTTTTAGAAGAAGGGATTAAGTTAAGAGAGATGTGACGAGTGAAACTACGTTGCATACCTTACTGTTTAAGTTGAGATATTTCTGCTAAATTTGGCTGGTTTTCAGCTAATCCACTATCATTCAAGATAATTTGGAGAGTAATAGAAATGAACTAAGAATGAGAAGACTTAGTTTGGCCCAATTTGAATGGTATGCATCATGTCTTTAGCACGTTTTGGATGCCAAAAGAAGCTATTTTATGAAGGGTCATTCAAATATGAGAAAATTGTATTTTTAACTCCTTGAACATCATTAAAATATCACATCAAGAGAGTGTTTTTCGTAAATATCTTCTATAGAGTAGTAATATGCTATGGAATGCTGCATCTTGAATATTTCATGGTTTAGGAAGCCAAAAGATTGGAAATAGCCATCTGCTTGTCGTAGTCTCTAGTTAGAAAATACAAACCGGATGTTGTGAGAGAAAGGGTGTCACTAAGAGGATGGTTAACAACTCGAGATTCTTCAACAGGGGATCTGTTGAGAATATATAGTTTATGGGTTATGGCCAGCTTTTTGGTTGAATCATCTTCATCATTAAGTCCTCTGTTTTAATTAATGTATTCCATAAAGCACAGTCGTACTAAAAGTTGTGATCTCTGGCCAAATTAAAAAGGAAAAAGAAACTGTAATGGTTCCTACTGCTATGCATTTTAGTGTTTGTGCTTTTTGCTAACTTCAAATGTAAGAAGTATGTGTGGAATAATTGACAATTATTGCCATATATCAATTGAATTTGAACCTATGATCTTAATATTACTTGAAATTATTGTGTTGATCAAGAGCAATTAGGTTGGACCAATCAAGTGATTGTTAACCGATGGTCATGTTGTATGTGACCGATAATGATTGCATTACTGATTTTTTATCTGTACATCCAACAAAGTTCGCAAGTTAGAAATTCTTGAGTTATTCATGCTTTGCCTTCTGCTTCATGTGAAACGTGTTATGCCTCTAAAATCTTGTTGGGCCTCAAGAATAACAGATGTTTTTATTCTCTCCATTTAAGCACTAACATTTCTTTTCGTACATAAACACAAAAAATGCATTTAACGTCTGGAACAAATGAATGATGGTTAAGTTGAAGTATTTTCATGTTGTTTATGATATTTTACCTCTATTTATATCCCTAATGAACTGTTCTTTGTATTTATCTTCAGAATGTTGACTGGGGAACAGTGGAAATGGTTGATGCTGAGAAGCGCCTTCTAGCCAATGCCCTACTAGAATTTTCGAATGAGCGGTTTGTTCTTTTATCTGAGAGCTGCATTCCAATCTATAACTTCCAGACTGTCTACAAATATCTCACCGGTTCTGCCTATAGCTTTGTTGAATCATATGATAATCCCTCCCGTTATGGGCGTGGCCGCTACAGTCGCAGGATGCGTCCCGATATTAAGATCTATCAGTGGCGGAAAGGATCTCAATGGTTCGAAATGCATCGAAAGGTGGCTATTTATGTAGTCTCAGACGTTAAGTATCTTTCTGTTTTCAGGAAATACTGTAAGCCTGCTTGCTATCCTGATGAGCATTACATCCCAACTTACCTGAACATATTCCACGGATCACTAAGTGCAAACCGGAGTGTAACATGGGTTGATTGGTCACTCGGGGGCCCACATCCGGCAACATATAGGGCAGAAAATATAACGGAAGGTTTTATAAAATCCATAAGGGACAATAATTGTTCATATAATGAGGAGCAAACAACCAAGTGCTATCTCTTTGCTAGGAAGTTTGCTCCTAGTGCACTGAAACCCTTGCTTAATCTCAGCTCCATAGTGATGGAATTTTGAAAATCCTGCCCGGAGATTTTCTGGTTTTGCTATTAATTATCATTTAAGCATCTAAATTTAGAGAGCTTTTATCATAGCTCATAAATTTTGTTAGGTTGAATTGATCTCTGTTATTTTTATTTTTTTTTCAAAGTGTACAGGTTTTTGTAGAGAGAGTTGGTTAAGGATTGACCATCTAGACAGTTTGCTCTGTATTGGCAAATTTTGAGAGAAATTTTTGTGAAGAAGATAGACATGAATATAGAAATTTAACTTCATTTATTGTTCCTCAACTGTAATGTCTCATTGTCTTGTTGTAGAACATGTCTTTTTTCAAACAAGAAGATTGATCTTTTGAATGGCTCTTCAAATCATATCATTGCTTTTGTTTCTTTAGTGCTGGAAAATGGTCTGTTCACACAAAGTTTGGAATTTGAATGTTGTTACAAAATTGATACCAGAATTGTGTAACATGACCTCAATACTCCCAGTTTTAGGTTTCATTGCTGAGTTACTTTGGAATAAAGCAAATTTAAAAGTCAAAACAATTTCTTTTATCAACTACTAAATTACGTTTCAAAATTTACTTTTGAAATATATATGATTAGTAAAAATAGTAACATAACACCACTTCTTAGCTTTAATAGAAATATTATAACATAGTTAGAACCATACACAAGGTCACTTAGCTTTAATGGAAATGTTATACTATCATTATCAAACCTTTGACAACCGTTGAATTAACTATCATAAAAACAAATCATAGTATCGATCCAAAGATTGTCAAGCAGTAATATAACTAAACTGGTACACCCTAACTTCTAAGACTGTTCAAAAAAATCTGATATCCGATCTGGATCCGCTTCCCTCCGATCCGAAAAAACCGGATATCTGAAATTTAGATCTGATACGGATCATAATTTTAGAAAATCCGAATATCCAAACCGGATACCAGATCGGGGTTGCTAAAAAAGCGGATATCTGTATCCGATCCGAATTTTACTAAAACTATGCCGTTTTGATTTTTATGCACACCCATTTCAAATAACACTACAATTTTAATTTAACTCAAACTGAACCTAAATCTAACTCTAACTCTAACTCTCTTGACAGTCACAAACTCACCATCGCCATCTTCATTCTTCAGTGTTCACTTACAGTCACCAACTCACGCCATCTCTCTCACTCACTCCTTCCACCATCAAAGCCAAGATCGTCATCAACATTGAAATCAGGGAGCCCCAAATCGTCAGTTCCTTTCCTAAATCCCTAATTGAAGCCCCAAATCGATCGTAAGTATAAACAATAATATTCATATTCATCTCCATATCTCATCTCTTCTTTTACCTTCCATCTCTCTTTACAGCCCATAACTATTTACTTTTCATTTTTACTTTTAATTATTAACACAAACCTCGTTTCTCTTGCTTTTTGTTTAATTATTTTTATTCTATACAAGTTTAATGGATATAATTTTCCTGTTAGATTTGTGATGTAGTTATATTTTCCATACAATAAGATCCGATTCCTTTTTGTTCATTAGAAAATTTCAAGTTGTTTGCTGTTATATTATTGTTAATTAGCTATAAAAAGATTATTTCAAGGAAATTATTTTTAGTGATTGGTTTCTTTTTTCTGGTAAATACCAAGAAATGGGTTTTTAAATTTCTTTAGATTTGCTTAATTTTCTTTTTCCCTTTCGAAATTGTAGTGTTTTCTATTATAAAGTCAAAATTTTATCGTTTTCAAAAGGTATGATACAGAAATTTAAAAAGGAAGCAATTGTTCAAAGAGATCAACCTCAAAATCAAAAGTCTCTGCTGTAGAATTGAAGAACGAATTATTCAAAAAATTTGAACTTTCTTAAACAAGAAAGGTTCTTATAATTATACCTATAAGAAAAAGGTTCTTATAATTATACCTAACATGATTAATAACAACTCCCAACTCTCTTCTAATCACACAATTACTTTGTAGTTTGTGGAATGAAGAAGAAATTAAATTAATAGTAAACTACTATTGTGCTTGCACAAGCCTCCCTACTTATCTTCATTTATTTATATTACTAAAATATTGAATTTTTATTGTTTAATTAGTTCAAACAAGAATAAGATTTTTTCCCCAAATACAATTTAATTATATATGTTGGATAATGAATGTTGCTATGTTAATGTTATTGATGTTTGGTTTGCCACCATTTTATTTGATGTTGTATGGGGTAATGAGTTGATTGTATAAGATAGACTATTGTTTTGCATTTTGTATTTTGTATCTAGATAATTACAGCTATTATTCTAGATCATAAACTTTAGGATCTAAGACTTGTATATTGGCTATTTATATCTACTGATTGTGAAAATAATATTGTAGCTTTTTCCTTAACATCTCTTGTTTTCTACTATTCCTTTGTTTTCTACTAATTATTCAAGGCATAAATTCTAGACTTAAAATTTGTATTTTGTAAATTGCAGATTGGAAGCAAAAAGGCAAGCTTTAACTTGAGAATGAAGAACCCTGCTCGCAATTCAGTTCAAGAAGGAAATAGAGTGAAGTCGGTGTGATGAAATTAGCATGAAGATAAAAAAATGTATTAGTATTAAATTGGCTGCTTTGTTTGTCTTTTTATTAAATTTGTAATTATAATTTGGGTGATAGATTATGTGTTAAGTTGACATTAAATAACTTGTGGATTAATTTGTTAATAATCATGCATTGTAATTTTAATTTTATTAGAAGAATTATTTGATTTTAAATTTTCATAAGAATTTTCTAAAATTCGGATGGATTTCGGATGTCCAGTTATCCAATCCGGAAAATCGGATATTCGGAAAACTGGATATACACATATTTTGGATCGGATTCGGATCAGGACCGGATCGGATCAAAAATAGGGCCATTAAGATCGGATATCCGGATTTGAACTGCCTAGTAACTTCTGCCAGCTTTGCCATAAAAATTCCACACTTCACAAAACGGATGTACCGTATTGAAATATTGCAGTAACTGGTGGTAACCAGAAGCACTTAAATTACAAAATTATATACATTGGAAGGCAAATCAGATTCAACTGTGCTTGGTACTCAAAAAGCATTTCTAGAAACGGTGTACAATAATTAGCAGCAAAATGCCACGAGAGTAATATAACCAGATGAGAATAAAATGCTCGTGTATTACACCCTCAAGAAAATCACTCTTTATGAAAAACTATTAATCAATTAAGACATCTTTAATTATATGTGAGGTCCAAAATTTATGAAAAACAATCCCATCACGTTACATAGATGTGCAATGAGGGTCACAACCAGATCTTTGCCCCACAAAAACTTTCCCAGCAAAAACTGCCTCATTATTATAATAATGCAAATTTGCCACCTTAAACTTGTGGAAATAACTGATACTCAACAGGTAACAATAATGTAGCACTTTTCTTGCTTCCGCAACTTAAATCATAAATTAGAGACCAGGTCGTTCGATTTATAACCATTTGTATTAAAAATAAGCTGCTACCTGTTGGCTGCTATCCTTTGGTGGCTCTCCTGTCGTTCATGTGGTCCTGATGGATTTTGTTCTGCTTCTTGAGGGGATCCAAAAGGTGGTTGCTCCGTCACGTGAGACCATGATGGCTTCTGCCTTGATATTTGTGGTTTCCAGGATTGCTGCTGACTGTCCATTTGTGAGGGTCCTGATGTATTTTGTTGTGCTTCTTGAGGGGGTCCAAATGGCGGCCGCTGTGTCACTTGAGACCATGATGATTGCTGCCCTGATATTTGAGGCTGCCAGGATTGCTGCTGACCTGCCATCTGCGAGGGTCCTGATGGATTTCGTTCTGCTTCTTGAGGGGATCCAAATGGTGGCTGCTGTGTCACCTGAGACCATGGTGGCCGCTGCCCTGATATTTGAGGCTGCCATGATTGCTGCTGACCTGCTATTTGCGAGGGTCCTGGTGGTGGTTGTCCTGTCATTTGAGGTGTTACGTTTTGCTGCTGCCATGTCGTTTGATGGAATCCAAAAGGTTCTCGCCCTGCCATTTGATTGGATCCTGAAGGCTGCTGTCCCCACATTTTATTGGCTGCTCCAGGCTGCTGTCCACTTATCTGATTGGGTCCTACAGGTTGTTGCCCCATCCTTTGATGGGCAACAAATGGCTGCTGTCCTGCCATTTGATTTGGTCCAAAAGATTGCTGCCCCGCCATATGATTTGATCCAAAGTGCTGCTGTCCTGCCATTCTATTGGATCCTCCTATAGGCTGCTGTCCTGACATTTGATTGGGTCCTAAAGGCTGATGTCCAGGCACTCGTGGTGGTCCAGTCATTAGAGGTGGTGGACGAGGAGCAGCATATCCCCATCTATCCATATTTAGAATTCTCTCAATCTCCTCACCTCGTCCAGAATTCTCAAAAGTCTCACGTACAAAATCCCGCAGTGCAGGGGTAACACCAACACCGTGCCTTATCATTTGATCAACTATATCCCTACTCAAGTCAATTAAGCCTTCATTGCATAGACCTCGGACCACAACATCATATATCAAGAAGTCCGGTTTAGGATCTTTCTCTCCCATTTTCGTCAAGATTGGGGCACACTCTGCAGCCTTACCTTTGTCAACGAACTCACTAAACACACTCGTCCCAAAACTCACAACCACCCTCAAACCACTCTCCACCATCCGGTTAAACATCTGCAAAGCATCATCAATTCTCTCAACCTTCAAGTACACATCAATCAACGTCCTAAATGACGTGACATCTGGTGTCAAAGTCTTTGAGCACAGTTCAGCAAACAGTTTCTCCGCCTCCTCTAACATCCCATTCTCACAAAACCTTGCAATAATATTATTATACCCTGCAACATCCATACCGAAAGGCTTGGATTTTGGATGTGTCCCTGCCTTCTTAAAAGTATCAATTGCCTCCGAAAAATTCCCAAGCTTAAAACACTCATTCACCATAATATTAAATGTATCCGAATTTACTGCCTGGATATTAGGTGGCTGATGATTATCCAACATTTGCTCGAACAAAGCCTGCGCCTCCACTTTCTGTCCCCACTTCAGCAAAACCTCCAAAAGAGTATTACAAGTAGCAGGAGTCATCCTAAAATTCCTATCCAACAACGACTTATATGACTCCATCGCCTCCTTCTCTTTCCCTTGCTTAAACCACCACTCTATATAAGTGGCATTCACAACCCCGTCATAAACCAAACACCTTTCTCTCAACTCATCAAACAACTCATTTGCCTTCTCCAAATTGCCCAAATTCAAAAACCCAGATATCAAATTATTATAAACCAACGAATCTGCGCCTTGCCCTTTATTCAACATCTCCCTCAACAAATCCACCGCCTCCCTGATTCGCCCAGAATCAATCAAACCCTTTGTTAAATGCCTATAAGTCACAGCACTAGGACTAAACGGCGCTGTTTCAATAATCTTCCTATAAACTCTCAAACCCTCATCCACTCTACCCTCATCACAATGTGTATTAATCAAATTATTATAAGACACAACATTAGGCACAATATCAGACTGATCAAAGAAAAACGCAAACAATGCAACGGAGTCGCTATACCGTTTCGCCCTATACATCGCAGCAATGATCGCGTTGCACGTGAACACCGTGGGGCGCGTGCTCGAAAACACGGCCTGACGCGCCAGGTACGAAGCGGCATCAAGGTCGCCAGCCCGGATGAGAGATTGCACGCGATTGTGGAGGTTGAGGCGGGGGCCGACGAGAGCAGACGTGGAGTCTGGGAGACGCGGGGCGTTGGGATCGCGGACAGGTGGGTGCGTCGGGTTGGGACGGATAGCGTGGAGCGGAGGCTCGATGCGGAGTCGGCGTTTTCTGCGGCGGCGCTCGGCGGCGGCTTCTTCGGTGGAGGAGAAGGCGTAGGTGCGGGTGAGAGGAGGAGCAGAAATGGGACAAGNGCTGCTGTCCTGACATTTGATTGGGTCCTAAAGGCTGATGTCCAGGCACTCGTGGTGGTCCAGTCATTAGAGGTGGTGGACGAGGAGCAGCATATCCCCATCTATCCATATTTAGAATTCTCTCAATCTCCTCACCTCGTCCAGAATTCTCAAAAGTCTCACGTACAAAATCCCGCAGTGCAGGGGTAACACCAACACCGTGCCTTATCATTTGATCAACTATATCCCTACTCAAGTCAATTAAGCCTTCATTGCATAGACCTCGGACCACAACATCATATATCAAGAAGTCCGGTTTAGGATCTTTCTCTCCCATTTTCGTCAAGATTGGGGCACACTCTGCAGCCTTACCTTTGTCAACGAACTCACTAAACACACTCGTCCCAAAACTCACAACCACCCTCAAACCACTCTCCACCATCCGGTTAAACATCTGCAAAGCATCATCAATTCTCTCAACCTTCAAGTACACATCAATCAACGTCCTAAATGACGTGACATCTGGTGTCAAAGTCTTTGAGCACAGTTCAGCAAACAGTTTCTCCGCCTCCTCTAACATCCCATTCTCACAAAACCTTGCAATAATATTATTATACCCTGCAACATCCATACCGAAAGGCTTGGATTTTGGATGTGTCCCTGCCTTCTTAAAAGTATCAATTGCCTCCGAAAAATTCCCAAGCTTAAAACACTCATTCACCATAATATTAAATGTATCCGAATTTACTGCCTGGATATTAGGTGGCTGATGATTATCCAACATTTGCTCGAACAAAGCCTGCGCCTCCACTTTCTGTCCCCACTTCAGCAAAACCTCCAAAAGAGTATTACAAGTAGCAGGAGTCATCCTAAAATTCCTATCCAACAACGACTTATATGACTCCATCGCCTCCTTCTCTTTCCCTTGCTTAAACCACCACTCTATATAAGTGGCATTCACAACCCCGTCATAAACCAAACACCTTTCTCTCAACTCATCAAACAACTCATTTGCCTTCTCCAAATTGCCCAAATTCAAAAACCCAGATATCAAATTATTATAAACCAACGAATCTGCGCCTTGCCCTTTATTCAACATCTCCCTCAACAAATCCACCGCCTCCCTGATTCGCCCAGAATCAATCAAACCCTTTGTTAAATGCCTATAAGTCACAGCACTAGGACTAAACGGCGCTGTTTCAATAATCTTCCTATAAACTCTCAAACCCTCATCCACTCTACCCTCATCACAATGTGTATTAATCAAATTATTATAAGACACAACATTAGGCACAATATCAGACTGATCAAAGAAAAACGCAAACAATGCAACGGAGTCGCTATACCGTTTCGCCCTATACATCGCAGCAATGATCGCGTTGCACGTGAACACCGTGGGGCGCGTGCTCGAAAACACGGCCTGACGCGCCAGGTACGAAGCGGCATCAAGGTCGCCAGCCCGGATGAGAGATTGCACGCGATTGTGGAGGTTGAGGCGGGGGCCGACGAGAGCAGACGTGGAGTCTGGGAGACGCGGGGCGTTGGGATCGCGGACAGGTGGGTGCGTCGGGTTGGGACGGATAGCGTGGAGCGGAGGCTCGATGCGGAGTCGGCGTTTTCTGCGGCGGCGCTCGGCGGCGGCTTCTTCGGTGGAGGAGAAGGCGTAGGTGCGGGTGAGAGGAGGAGCAGAAATGGGACGAGGGTTAGGGTTAGGGTTGGAATTAATTTGTGGGGTCGTGGGGTCGTGGGTGAGGTTGTGGAAGAAGTGGTGGTGGTGGACAAAGACGGCGGGGGAGGAGGAGGAGGGGGAGGAGAGGCGGTGGAGGGAGCGGCGGAGGAGGCGGTGGAGGAGCATTTTGGGAAGATTGAAAAAGTCAGTGAGAAGTGGTTAAACCTGGTGAGAGAAGCGAGAGGAAGAATGCTTAAACCTCAAAGAGACGATGAAGTTTAAATAATTTTTTGGTTAGGTTTTGGAAATGTAAATGGGCCGAGGCCCAATACAAAGTAAATGGGCCAAGGCCCAATTAGATTTGAACTTGTTTTATTTTATATTACAAGGGAATTATTTATAGAAAAATGTTACATCTACATCTTCTTCTCAAAAACTTTTTCTCACAACTCTGATATGACAATTCATAATTGGTTAACTTGTAATGGAGCTTACTTGATAATTTATGGTTGACCAATTACGAACTGTCACGTCGAGATTGTAAAAAAAGGTTTGTGAAAAGAGATTGTGGTGTAAAATTACTCTTATTTATAAATCTTTGTCCACAATCATTTTGAACTTGATCTTATCACGAAGGAGAAATTGTAACAAGTTTCCTGAAGGAACCTGTTGAGGATCATTGTTTTAACTTGTCCAGCAAAACAACTCGTGAACTTGTCTTGAAAACGAGGTCTTACAAGCCTCGTGCTCCGGTATACTCCTAACTGTATGCATCGAAGCTGGTTGTACGCAAATAAATGACAAGAGTAATTATAACTCTTTTAAGGTAGCCAATTGTCTCATCATCTAATAAGTGACACGCATGAATTTCCTATTGGACATTATTTGTATCTATGTCCAAGAATAAAAAATCTTGTGTTGTTATCGATACTACTATATGATCCATCTTGCGACATTACAGGTTAGAAATTCCATGAAAAATTTATAAGCCAGAGCCAATATCACTTACAATAGTTCATGTTGAATCAAATATTCAATACCATTCATTTTACGGATTTGACAAAATTTTTAATAATTTTAACCGAATCAAGTAGATATTATTCATTTCAGATCTCGTACAATAGCATGTTTTACCTCTCATATTTACTCTAAATATAGAAATAATTTATTTATTTTTTAACATAAAATTCGTAGTAATGTTGCATAAATTTTTATCAGAAATATGAAGTTAGAGAAAAAAAAAATTCTTACTAAAAATGAAACACCAAAATTAGGATAAATTCCAATCCACCCGCCAAAAACTATATTTTTACAAAAAGTCTCAACTGCATAACATATAAACACTTATATCCACAAGGAATCAATGAACAAAAGGCCAAGTTTTCACATCTCCTCTTTCCTTGTTTGGAAAGGCGAAGATTTCCCTAATAATTTAAAAAAGAACGAAGCAATTACAATAGAGAAAAACATGAATTTGTTACCCCATACAGGCATAAGAGGTCACCAGCATTTGAGCCGTTTGAAGGCGTTTGGTGTCACCAAAAGAATTGTATGTGTATGCATGGTAGGTTATCTGTATGTTCTGTACGTCTTGAATGGCCTTGTGTGCGCTCGGATGAATGCGCGATAAATAGAATTAATGACTAGTTTGGTTTGCGAATTGTTGATATGGATCAACCCAACATTTTTCCTCCTCCACAGCGTCTCTCCATCTTTTTCTGAAGATCTGCATTTCAATGAAGGACTGTCTTCTCACCTGCAAATGCATTGTTACTCAGCAAATGCTATGGACAATGGTTCCGCTAAAAATAGATCAAAAGGTTCATTCTTTGCGCCTGCATGTGCACACTCTAGTATTACAGTACCGAAGTGGGCTTACCTCCGGTCTATTATCGAATCTGCGGGGCGATGATGGTGGCTGCAATTTCAAACAAGGTGAATACGAAGAAAAATGTGATGCAAGGCAACTTGAGGTTCAAAGTACACATACCAGTGCCTCCAAGTTCGATAACTTGTCCTGATTAGATAGAGCTTGTCCGACAGGGTTTAACTGCATGAAGCAGACAGCGCAAAGTGAGAAACAAACCAGCATGGATCTTAGAGGTCATTGCGAAGTCTAATTTTAAAGGTTTTATGTCAAAATGTTAAAAATGACAGCAGAAGAGAGATGACAGTTAAAACAGTAATACAGCCTCAAAATTATGCTATTGATATGAATTTGACTACTTGCCTCATGTTCTGTAGTGACACCAAGTGTCAGAAGGCCCATATGGACAATGTACTCAGAATCAACCACACCAACATTCTTGGTTCGATCACCCTGAAACGTATTCTTAAATCATTAGGATGGCAGCTATGGCTATAAAATACGAAATTTGAAAAGGTATATAAGAGTCGGAAAGCTACTTGTGCACAATAGCCGAGCTGCATATCCAGGCCCCATGCATGGATCAAGTCATTCTGTAAGGAAATTAAATAATTAGAGAACAATTTGCCAAAAGCAAATGAGTTATAGTTGAGTGAAAAAGTACCAGAAAAGTTTAACCGAGAACTCATAACCGAGGAAAGTAAATAACCAGATAAAAAGAAATTTTTGCCATCTTAAGTTCGAAATGATCTAACACTACATTGACTAGCCTTTATATTGAAGCTTATACCTGGATCATATACCATGAACATCTCCATGCGGCTCTCGAAAACACGGGTGCCATCATTTCTACCCATCTGCATAACATATTTTATTCACTGCATTAGAACCAGCATTATTTCTCTGCTCTAGTATGGATCATTTTCAGAAAGCAAAAACAACAATTAATGAAAAAAACAAAAAAAGTGAACATGGAGTTGGTGACACGTTACCCAATGCATGGAGGAGCAGTACTGTGGGCATCACACCGTCCACCGCCTTTAAACTTATACATCCTCCTGTTAAGAAGTTTGAGAAAGAATGATGGACTCATCAGATGCCTTACGAGCATAAATTGAAAAATTAATACTTTGATCAATAAAGTCTCCAAGATTTCATAATAAGAATAACTGAAGTGCTGGAACAGGGACACTGATTTACGACATTGACTAAATAGTATTGTGCAAGCAAATTAACTAACTTGACACAAACCTGTGAGCTTTTGAATTTCTTCTACGTGCAGTGATTGGATGATGTACCTCTGACTTAACAGGATCGAGGGCTGGCTGAGATATTTCGAGTCCCTCTTCTTTAACAATGGATAAATATCTACAAAGGGTTCAGTAACAATGTATAATCACAAAAATAGGTTCAAAATGGCCAAATAGGCTCCCAATTCATTAAAATAGCAAAATGGTAACATAAAAGTTATTTAAAAAAGGGAACCATATAGAGGGAAAAACAAGTTCAGCAATGAAGGAACCACAGGTTTCATAGTCTTTAGAGGTATTGTTGTTTACTCATGTATAAGTAATTAATCAAATGTACCAATTTATAATTTTGAAAAAGAAAAAAAGAACTAGAATTTGTATAAATAAAATTTAAATGGTAATTAAAAACGTTCATATGCTATATAGCCTATATTTTACGAAACTCACAGTTAATTATTTCTTGTGATCACTTCAAGAATGCCTAAGTCAATCCAAAAGGTTAGGTCAGATCCTGCTTACCGTCTTGGATTAAAATTCTCAATGCCAATGTCCTCATCCCAGAGGAATATATAATTGTACTCGGCAACAATATCTGGATGCAAGAAACGTTTTGCAAACCACCTATCAGGTCATAAAGCACCATCTAGTTCAGAAATTAAGTAAACATGCATAAGCATGACCACACAAAATCCAGGTGAATAAACTATTGTTACCATTTTGTTTGATTCACCGCAGATACATGTATGGCACGCTCGGCCCATGCTAAATCTTTCCACTCATCCACAACACCATCATAATGGAAAAGCATAACAACGAAATCTTTTGAAGGAAACTGCAACAAAGAAACAGGGTATTAAGAATAGACCTGATGAGATCATTCTGAAAGCAAAAAAGGTGCGAGAGTAGTCACCAAAACCTTTCGGATAATTTTGTCAACTACATATTTTTGCTTAATTCCAACCGCAATGGCCAACAAGTTCATGGAACACTTTGGATTGTTCTGGCACAAAATTTAGAAGACAAGAAAAGATGATCAATAATGCAGCCAGAAAGTGTATATGCGTCAACTACGCTATCTAGGTGTTACATACAAGTTAAATTGAGAACTTTTAAAAGCCAAAAATGGCTTCACATACAAGTTTCATAGTGGAGCTCCATAAAGGCCGCATCTCCAAGTTTGACGTTTTGGCAACGATTCCTTGAGGTAATGCCTCAGTTCCAGGAGACCTGCACTGATTCTGGGTAACAGAAATCCGAAGGAAGAAAGGACGAAAAAATCAGAAAATATTTCAGGTAACTTTATGCGCCACTAACAGAATGAAATCTTTTTTTACGTTCTAATGGACAAACCTTGCAAGCATTAGAGTTTGCTTTCCGCATACTATTAATCACTCCCCATCTCATTATCCTCTGCACATAAAATCGAAAACAAAACAAATGTAAGGAAATATCTCAAAGCTCAAGACCAATATTTGCTCCTCTAAAACAGGTTGGGCCGAGTCTAGTGTCTAAAACAATATCAGTCATATCCACACATTGTCTGGTCAAGTTTGCATTGGGCATATTTTTCAGAGCATTTTGAATAAATTTACGTTGATCTATAAAAATTTCACCACTTGTCAACGATAAAAACCAACTCTATGTCATTCCGTTCTACAACATACTCAACAACAAGAATTCATTTAAATAGAAATACTTACTTCCTTGTGATCCTTTGCAGCATTGCCAATGAAGTATGCGCCACAGATCAAAGAAACTGCAATAAAAAGAGTGAAGAGGCACGATCTACTTACAGGATCCGACAGTGCAGAAGCCTGACATTTGTAATTACATTTTAGTTGCATAGTGGTCTAATGATTCAATCGGATAGTGAAAAATACATCATAAACATAACAGTACTCTTTGTACATAGTTTATAAAAGCTTGTTCTATGAGCCTAATCAGGAAGCCGTCACACATCAATATGTCCATCAACACAACATTTATTCTAAATAAAAAAAAGCACTGATTATTCAAAAAAAAAAAAAAAGAAAAAAAGAAAAATTGAAGTTCTGCACAAGTAGTCCGGGCACCAAAAGCACAAGTCTATGGTCAATGGAAACAATCAAAAGTTTTATTCATGTTTAAAATGACTTAAGTGAAATTAAGCGACCATCTAGAAACTAGAAACAGATTTTGAAACAAACAAACTTAATATGCACATTTTCTTTTAACAAAGGCTTACAGTAAAGTCAATTTTGGATACGGTCAAAAGTTAAAAATCTGACGAAAATAAAAATGTTAATTTAAATACTTGTGCTAGTAAAACAAAAAGTGTTAAGAACGTAAAACAAGAATTAAACATTTAATATTTTGAAAATCTTTAGTTTTCCTTGTTTTCTCCGTGCAACCAAACAGGGGTTCCTGATAAAGATTCTTCAAAAGCAGAGAAATTTTATTAAAAACGTAAAAGGCAAAAAGCAAAAGAGAAGGAAGAAGAAAAACCTGAACTACCTCTATTTGGTTAGCAAACAATCAAAAGCACTTTTGAGTTCTCACCAAACAAACTGAAGGGAAAAGCACTTTCCTAAACTGTCCTAAACAACCAAAGAGAAAGAGAAAGCACTTCCCAGCTGAAAAGAAAATTCCCAGCAATTAAAACTGACAAACATAAGGAAACACTCTATTTTAAAAACAAACGAAATCACTTTCTAGTTCTCACCTAACAAACAGAACGGAAAAGCACTTCCCAGCTTAACCAAAAATGCAGCAACCCAGCATAGGCAATATGAATTTCCCAGCGATCCAACGAAGTAAAAAGGACTTTCCCAATTACCAAACAGAAGAAAAATACACTACCCAGCAACCAAACATGGGCAAAAAACATTTCCAGCAAAGCAATAGAAGTTAAAAGCACTTCCCATCTCGTCATTGACCAAACCAAAGAGAAAAAACAGGAATTCCCAGAGCAGGAAAATAACTTCCCACCAACCATAGGCAAAAAATCATTTCCCAGCAAGTCAACAGAAGTAAAAAGCACTTCCCAGAAACCAAACACAAGCCCAAAAAAAAAGCACTTCCCTGAGAAGGAAAATATTTTCCCACCAACCAAAACAGAGAAGCAAAAGCAAAAAAAATAACAAAAAATCCGAATTTCCCTTTTATATTGAATCAATATGCTTCACTAAAACTCCAAAAAAAAGAAAACAAAAACAAAAATTGAGAATTACGGAAGTGAGAATTGTTGCAGAAGATAAAAAAAAAGCACTTCCAGATAAGCAAACAGACTTCCCACCAACCAACATAGGCAAAAAATCATTCTCCCAGCAACTCAATAGAAGTAAACAGCCCTTCCCAGAAACAAACAGAAGCAAAAAAAAAAAAAAAAAAAAAAAAATGTTCTTCTCAGAGAAGCAAAAATATTTCCCACCAATATGAAAAATCCTCATTTCCCTTTTATTCTTAAACCTATATGTTCTACTAAAACTCATAAATAAATTTAGAGCTTACAGAAGCGACGATTTTCATTGTTGCAGAGGAACTCCAAAGCAAGAAGACCAACCAGAACTCCAATAACTTCAAGCCTCCAATAACAATCCCACCTAGTGCTTAAATAAAAGCACTTTCTTTTTTCAAGTTTATTTTCTTATAGTTTCTTTTCAACAAGAAAAAGTGTACAGGTAAAGAAAAGAACCAATTGGAGAAAGTTGAAAGGGGAAGAAAAGTTGGAATAATAGTAAAGAAAACCAAAAGCCAAAAGGCATCAAAACGGTGTCGTACCTTGAAGCCGTGAACAAAAGCATATTTTCTTTAGGCTTCTTCACCAACCAACCAAGCATATTTACTATTTAATATTTGATTTTTTTTAAGAGTAATACTACACATACAACATTTCTCATACAATATGATATGATAAAAAATGATTGATTGTTTTAAATTATTTAACCTAATATTTTTTTGTTACATCATGTTGTATGAAAAATATTATATATATATAGTATTATGCTCTTTAAAAACATAAAGAAGAAGAAGAACCACCTGAAAAGCAATTAGTGAGATAGTTACAAAGAAAACCCTATTGGGCGTTTGGTTGGCGGGTATATCAGATTATTGAGATTATGTCATCTTATATTACTTTGATTACCACGTTTGGTTGTCAAGTAATATAAGATTCCGGTAACCTTCTAATACCAATAGTAGTTACTGTTGGTAATATTGGAGGTAGTCTGATTATCTCCATTTTCTTAGGTATTGTAAGATTACCTTGGTAATCTTATTTTTGTTACAATTCTATTCTTTATTAATAAAAATTTTGGACAATAATGCCCTTGTTTTAAGATCAATTTACATTAATCCACCATTACAATTTTACTCTTGTTTAATTAAGTTTTTGGACAATAATGCCCTTATATTTAAAAAAAATTATAGACCATTACTATCACCTAGCCACCATCATCGACAGTGGGCCAACCACGCCTATCTTTGTTGGAAAGTCGTCGGAGCCACTTTAAATGATCGAGAGTCACTGGGAGGCTCCGATATGGCCGTTTCTGGCCATATTGATGGCCGAAAACGGCCATATTAGACTAGATCTGGCCAAATCTATTATGGCCATTTTTTGCCAGATCCATGGCCATTCTACTTCGATTGGGGTGTTTTCAGCCATCAATATGGCCAGAAATGACATATTGGAGCCTCCCGGTCATGGTGGGCTACTCACAAAGACTTTAGGCGACTTCCAGCAGTGGTTTGTGGTGGCAACATGGTGGTGGGGGTGATTTTATTATAAATTAAAGTTTTATATAAGCGGGGGTGTTTTAGCTAAATCTAAAATATTAGGGTTAAATTAAATTATTCAAAAATTAATATTATATTAATATTTACAAAGAGGGCAATTTAGTAATTTAAATAACATATCCACCAATTTATTCCTCCTACCCAAACATATTAATATAACATACCCACCAATTTATTCCAACTAACCAAACACATTTTCCAAAATATTCTCAGTAATCTTCAAGGTAATATAAGATTCCAGTAATCCAACATTCGCAGTAATCTAACATTCCCTGGACCAAACGCATCCTATATTTTATGTCTAAAACAGAAGTCCCTCTAGTACAAACATATCAGCACAAACATCCTTTTACTATTTTAGGCAGTCTTATCCAATCCAGTTATGTCCCAAGAAATTAGTACAGTCCAGTTCTGACTCCTAAACTCGGCCTAAATATGCCATTTCAGTGTATGATGGCAAAACCTCCAGGCTTCGACTAGGCTATCGTTAGTTAGGAGTAGGTTTAAATATTATGAACACAACCTGAGCTCGAGCTGGGCTTTTTGAATTTTTGAGGCTTAGGGTCTTAGGCTCAAGTCAGGTTAGGTTTTTTTGCCATCCTTATATCTCATGTGTACAAATAACAAAATTTACATTTTCTCGTAAATTCATGATATATATGGAAATTCACAAAAGTACAAAAAATTTCCTTTATTGAAATAATACACCTTAAAATGACTTTTTGGTTAAAGATGCAAATTATTTTATGTGGTTGATGTAGATGCAAAAAATCTACCTTTATGAAAATAAGGATTGATCCCGTCAGGTTGAGGCCACTAGCAATCGGCTGTACCTACACACGCAAGAAAACAAGCATGAAGCGAACAGAAAACACCAAGGTGGTGTTTGCCGTAGGCATTCTGATGCTCAAGTCAGTAAAGCTGAGTGACGCTAATTTAGTGAGGGTTAGGGAAAGAGAAGGTTACCAGAAGTGTAGTCGGAGACTATAATTACGGATGTGATGCGAAGTTCTCAAGAGTGGAAACTGCAGGGTCTGAAAGTGTAATGTATGTCTCCTTTGTGAGAGGGTTGGCCTTTGTTTAAATAGCGACTATAGGATCTTTGAATCCTGTTGGGACTGAGAGTCCTTGGAGTTGAGGTTTTGTAAAAAGGAGAACCTTTGGCTCCCTTACCTTAGCAGGAAAGGGAGTCCCAGTGGGTCTAAGACACATATCTTAGACGATTTAGGGTAATGATGGACCTCTTCGATAGAGTTCGAATAGTACCGGGGTAAGTAGGCGACCTTGGGCTCTAAGTAGATCCTAAGTCCAGAAGGTGGCCTAGGATCAGAGGGCCTAGGCCTAGATAAACTGGCGGTGAGGCCTAAACGAATAAGGCCATTACTGATTGGGTCCAAATGGTGAGCAACTGGGTAGGTGTACCAAACGGACCTTATATGCAAACTCTATTGCAGGCCCAATCAGAATTGGGCGTCTTCGTCTTTGGGCCTATTCGGGCCGAGGATATTTTTTGACCCTAACAGTTTGCCCCCCACTTTCTAAGTTAAGGAGTGTTTAACTTAGAGAGTAGACGTTGCATGGAGGTGTACTTAGTCGACCTTCACGACCGACTGGTCGAACATATGAACGTGCTGCTTCTTTGTTTGCGAGAATGAATAGTATAGCTTTTGTTGTAGGTGATGCAATCGGTACACCAAGCCGAGCAGGTAGAGGCGAAACATCATCATGCTTTCACTTGGTGTATCTAATTGAGTGAGGGAGTGGAGTTGACCTTGATAGACTCGCCCAGAGCATCGGATCGAGAGGAAGCATGAAAGAATTTGCTTGAGGTATCCTCACCTGGTATGTCGCATCGGGTGGGAAAATACGTGAAACGTCCTATGAAGGTGTCCTCACTTAGTGTATCGAGCCGAGTGAGTGGGTGTGCGAGCTGTCCCAAGAAGGTGTCCTCAGTCGGTGTAACGAGCCGAGTGGAATGCGTTAGGGTCATTCCAGTGGTGGAACCTTAGGCTGATTGGTCAAATCCAAATGAAAAGGTGTATGTGCACTTCCCACTCGTGATTGGCTCGTTCGGTCGGGATGACCGAGTAATTGGGTGCTCTGTAACTTTTTGGCCGGGTTTGTCACGGGGCCTAAGGGTCAGGGTAATACTTCTGATCCTTCCGTTTGGTTGGGAGGGCATACTAAATGGGTGTGAAGTGTTAGAATGTGTTTGCTTGGCCGTAGGAAATGGACAATTTGTATGATAGACATGCCTACTTGGTCAGGTTAGCCGAGCGACTAAGCTAGGCGTGTGCATGGGGTCATGTCTTCCGAGTGCGTGTGAATCCGCTACACATGTGTGGTGGAGATCGCTCCTGGTTTGGGTGGGAAAACGAAGAGTCGCTCTGTTCCATAACTAATGCAAGGTTGCCACATGTCTCTTTTTCCAACCTTTGTCCATAAAATCGAGGAGGTGACTGTGCGTCTTCATTTCATCTCTCATTTCTCTTTCTTTGCATTTTCTTCCTGTTTTCAAGTTTTTTCAGCGGCGGTGGACGTTCTTTCGTGGATTCTGGCCATTTTCACGGTAAACATTGGTTTTTTGCACTGCTTTTTGTTTCTATTTCTTCTCCTTTTTGTTTGTGTAGCATTTTTGGAGAGATTTGAGTGGGGTTTGGTAAGTTTGCTTTAGCTTTTTGAAAGGGTTTGAAAAAACTAGGAGGTGCCGTGTTTCTTCATTTTTGGGTGGGGTAGATTTAGTGGCGACTTAGGTTGTTTGTTTTGAAGTTTGGGGTGAATGAAGAAAACACAAAAATTTTCGTATGGGTTCAAAGATTCTGGGTTTGGGGGAGGTAAAAGATGAAATCTGTTTACGTTAGTTTCCCATTCAGCTCGTCTCGATCTACTTGATCGAGTCGAGTGCGTTGCTTCGAGTGAAGAAGCGTGGTTTCTGGTAAGGGCTATTTACTTGGGTCGCACAGTCTTCCAGACCGAGTGGTGAAAGACCTGCATAAGTGGTTCTGAGTAAGCAGGTAGTCGGTCGCCTAGACCGAGCCGAAGGTCACATATAGGTTGGAGAGTTAGACTGTTTTGAGAACCAATCGGTTGGTAGCTCTGGGCGAGTAGGGCTTTCGAAATAGGGTTCAACTTTGAATTGAAAGTCAGTCGGTCGCCCGGGTTGAGTGGACAAAGTGTTCAATTCGCGGTCAAAGTCGAGCGACTTGAGTGGGGCAGAGATAGAAGTTGGGAATGAGTATGGGAATGCCTTAACAATGGTGATGATGAAAGTAATGGTGAGTCGGATAGGCAAGGGAGGAGTGGGGAAGACTCCGATGAAGTTGATAATTCCAAGATTTCACCCTTCACTAGCAGTGGCTTCGAGGACGAGCCGAGTCGGCCTAGTAGCGCGATATTGAGTAGGGATTATCCGCCCTTATTGAAGGAGAGTGATGTATGGCAGATCAAGACGATGTATCATATCCCGGAGTCTGTCAAAATCAGGGTGCCAAGGTCATACGAGTGGGTCGATTGTGAGGCAAAAGGTTGGGTGAGCGCCTATGAGAAATGGTTCCACGACGGGCTAAGGCTTCCCATCCCTCGTCTTGTTTGGGAGGTCTTGAACCATTTCATGATTGTGCCGACCTAGATTATACCGAATGGGTGGAGGTTGTTGATGGCTCTGGAGGACCTCTGTGTGCGAAATCAGGTAATTGTTTGGTGTAAACCCCGCATTATTATTCTAATGCCCTAAGGTATGAAATTTACCTTCTCAAGTAATTTTCTTTTTTTGTTGAATGGAAGGGTAAAATGGTCAATTTACATGCATTTTGAGATGTGGCCATTATAAAGTGTAAGAGGTGATGTCCTTGAAGAGAAATGAGGGTAGAATGGTCATAAAATTGATTGATATGGTTAAATGGCG